GTGGCTGGTGGTTCAAACCATTGGTTAGTGGCCTAATGCTTTACCACTGTGCCACCAGAGCTCCTGTTTGTAGTATGAGTATTTCTTATAAGTTGATGATAAAGTCATTAACGTGGAATTTTACCCATAGTCTCTGAAGACATACGCAGAATGATAGTTTTTCCTCATTCTGCTTCTTGAACATTTAGAAGTGCTAATGGACCATTCTTTTTGGTTTTGGTCTGTGGATGCACTCTGGTCCTTGTTAACGGTTCCATGGCCATATTTCTTAAGCCCCTATTCCTGGTATTCCTGGTTCTCACCTCACACAAAATTTATTCAAATGTGTAGTATCAGAGTCAAGTATTTTAGACATGCCAGGATACTTCTTAAGCCATTGTCTTTAACTACAGAAATTTAGGTACTTATTACACAAAATACTTGCTGAGTACCTTCTATATGCCAAATAGCTACTGTGCACTAGATTCTGTTGTGGGCATTTGAGTTACATCAGTAAATTAAACAGGAAATAAATAAATAAATAAATAAAAATCCTTGCCTTCACAGAGCCTTCATTCTGTAGAGAGAGATAGATATTAAACAGTAAACATAATTCTGTAGAGAGAGATAGATATTAAACAGTAAACATAGTAAAGCACAGTATACTAGAAGGTGATACCTGTTGCAGAAAAAAAGCAGTTGATAAGGGAGCTTGGCAATGTAATAAGGGTGTAATTTTTTTTTTTTTTTTTCTGCTGCATCATTGCTGTTATTTATTTATTTACTTACTTACTTACTTACTTACTTACTGTGATTTGGGTGAAAATTTACAGAGCAAATTCACTTTCCATACAGCAGTTCACATACACTTTGTCTCATGACAGTGACCACAATTTTACCACAATGCAACAGCTCCCCTCCCACTTCCTTCCCATAGTTAGAAGGGTGTAATTTTAAAGTAGGTGAGTAGAAAAGGCATTACTGAGAAGGTGATCCTTGAGCAAAGACTTACGGGATTTGAGAGTTAACCATTGAGCTGCTGGTGGGAGAAAATTCCAGGCAGAGGAAACAAAGACTTTAGGACTAGAGAATGTCTTTCATATTTGAGAACTAGCAAGGGAGCCAGTGGGGCTGGAACAGAGTAAGGGAGAAAGTAAAAAGAAATGAGGTCAAAGGTAACTGGAGGCCTGATGTGTAGGACCATGTTAGCCATTATAGGTACTGTACCTTTTAGTCTAAGGGAAATAGGGAACCATTGTAGAAATTTTCACAGAGGAGTATTATAGTCTGGCTTTCTTTTTAAAGAAAATTGCTGTGTTAACAACAAACTGCAAGTATGGAGACCGCTTAGGCAACTATTGCAGTTATCTAAAAGGGGTATGGTGGTAGCTTAGATCCAGGTCATAGCAGTAGAAGTTGGTGAGAGAGAGTTGTATTCTGGACTCACGGATAACTAAGATTTTTTGCCTGAGAACTCAAAGGATGGAATTACCATAAACTAAGTTGGCTAAGAGTGGCTTAAATGGAGGAGGGAGGATACTGGAAGAAAGCAGCTTACAAAAAGAGTAGGTTTAGAATGATTTGACTTTTGTAAAACTCAGAATGTGAGAAACTGTATAGTTCTAGGTTTCACATTTAAGTCTTTGATCCATCTGGAGTTTGTTTTTGTGTGTGGTGTGAGGTACAGATCTTGTTTCATT